AGCATATTACCCTGTCTGGTGGCCGCTGTCTCTGCTGCTCGGTGCTGCTGGCAGCAGATCCGTGCTTCCGCCTCCACTGTATCCACTTGTTCCGTGAGGGCCGCGAGGTCTGTGTCTGCTTTGGTGAGCATGCTGCTCCCAATCCTGGAGAGCTCAGCCCTGATGGACAGCAGGGCATCATCGGGGCTGAAGTCGGGCATGGAGTCCCCCCCGCTGGTTGTACTAGGGGAAACAGCCGCCATATTGTCGGAAGGCGCCGTGCCCCAGAGTCCCGCCGGGGTGCTTAGAAATTCATCTAGGGTGCCCGTACCACGTCTCGGGGACCCCGGGGGCATGCTCCCAGTGCCAGTAGGTTTCTTGGTCCGCACCATCGCTGAAGATGCAGGGTAAAATGCTAATTATGGCGGTTTAGGCCTAGGAGCTCAGCTAGTGTGCGACTGGCGCCATCAACGTCCAGGCCACGCCCCCCGTGGATAGTATTTAAATAAAACAATGTACCTAACATGTCTGTGCTTGATTTAATTATTCAGATGATGAAGAGGTAGTTGTGAAGTACCTAAACAATAAGAGTACTCACAAGAATATATCACACTAGTGAAATTAAAATAGATGATTATAGTTCTAAGTTTAGCTCACATAAAACAGGAATACCTTGGAGGCGGATCCTAACTGTCCAAAAAGATGGCAGCATAATCTCAGAGCTTGGCTGAGACCATGCTTTCATCCATAGCAATCATCAGCACACATGCCTTACACACTCACCCCATACCTGCCCAAATGCACTTGAGCACCTCTACTACATTGCAGATCATGGGCAGAGGACGGAAATCGAGGCACTCCTCGCTGGCACTGGTTTTTAGAACTAGGCCGGAGAAGCCCGGTACGCCATCTTCCCAACCGCCACTCTCAGACTCCAACTTGGACATTAGCAGTACAGCACTGTTGGAAAGAACAGATGCTCCCCCCACCAGACAAGACATGTCGTACTTCATTAGAGAGCGGAAGAATCACGTAGCTGATGAGCTTAAAAAACACCTGAAACCTCAAACTGGCCGCATCGCGCATCTCAAGATTACTAAAGTAGTTAATAGCCATAGCACATTTTTTTTCGGGACTTCAAGGAGCAGATCTGCCTTCTCGAGGATGCCAACAAGGACCTGAGTAACCGCACCCGCCAGAATAATACCCGGATCAGAGGGTTGCCTGAGTCGGTCTCTGTGGAACTACTGCAAGATAAACTGACAGAAGCACTTAGGGGCCTACTACCCCAACGCCACCTCTACAGACATGCTCATGGACAGAACTCACCAGGCTCTTAGACCACAGACTACAAACATGGCTCAGCCAAAAGACGTCATCACCCAGCTTCATTATTTCCATATTAAGGAGTGGACCATTACAGCTGCCAGTAATAGTCCAGTACAGGTAGACGGACACCGAGTTCAACAATTTTAAGACCTAGCACCCAGTACCCTGCGAAAACACAAGTCTCTACTCAACCAACACGGTCTGCATTAGGCCTGGCGTTACACCTTTAAGCTGACTCCTGCAAACCGACGCAGCCCAGACTATAGACCCCACTGCAGAGACTTCATCTCCCCCAGACTGGACACCGCCCACAGACCACCCTCTAGCCCACTCACCCACAGGCCCAAAAGCTGGCACGTCTTTATGGTGAAAGCTGGTCAAACGCAGCTATCCACCATTGACTGAATAACACTCTCTCTCTTACTCACACAGATTTCCACCTGTACATGCTCTCATTAAGGGTATCTACCCGTTTCCTCTTACCCGATGGGTCAGACAGTTCATGTACCTGCCTGGTCACCCACCCACAACTAACTGGTGAGATTGATAAGCCCAGTTGTCGCTTAGATGCACATGCTTTCCCGTGTTGGCCAGTGGGTGCAAATCCTGTTTCAACCCCCACGTCCACTCTCTTCTCCCTTTCTTTCTTTTTTTTTTTTACTTCTTTCTCACTCTACACCCTTCTTATTACGACCTACCACGGTGCAAATCATGTCATCCCCACATCTGAAAGTGCCGTGCACCTAAATCAATACCAAATGCTTTAATATACCAGCAAAAAGACACGCACTCATGCTCCAAGAAACACAGTTCACAGAACAATGGCACTACCCCCTAGTGAACCGGCAGTTCAAAAGATGTTCTCTGGCTGATTCGCCTGAACCAAAGTCCAAAGATGTAGCCATACTATTGCGTAATAGCTGCCCTTTGATGGATCTCAACATCACTGAAGTCCCCAAAACACAGATACCAAACACAGACACCATAGTGAAGGCCAAACAAATATACAGTGATAGAGTCTGTGCGGTAACAGAAATGGCTACAAACCACCTGAGTGGAAAACCCTTATACCACTCCAATACTTAAAATACGTACAATAGGTGGGACACACGTCTCATGGTTTCTATAAAACAAAGTAAAATAACATAGTACAGTATTGTCAAATGTATAGATATAGTAATATGGTGAATGTGAAGTACTCACAAGCCTGGAGCCAAATGAACATATAGCTCTCATGAATAGCGGAGAGGGACTCTTAATAGGATGTCCCCATCCTTCTTCTTGTTGATCTTTAGGTGACCTTAGCAGTATTTGGATTGGAGGTAAGATGTGCAAGCTTTTTTCCAAGAAAGCTTTATTTAAACATCAATAAAGTGCACTATGTGCTAAAAATACAATAGTATAAAAAAGTATAAAATAAAAAGTCCAAATATAACTTATCAGTCTTTTGTAGATACTGCCCAGTGGCCAGTCAGTTGATCCAAAACACGTTTCGCCCTACGGTGGGGGTTTCCTCAGTTGGTGTATTCAGATGGACTCCTCTGCGTCTTTTAAATCTCCTCTTCTTTGTATTTCCAGGTTCGGCTGGTCACATGTGCGCATTTGGAAAGCAAGGTGCGTCCCACTTCTGGATCGCGTATCGTGCTTCGTCCAGGCGCACAATAGACGTCACTAGAACGCATGCCTCGCCATATATGCGTTCCACTTAGGGATTATGATCGATCTTTATGTGAAGTCATGATATTAATGTACATTATACAACAAAGGCTATTTAACCATAATTATATTATATTATCAGCATCTAGATAAATAATGTTCTTTATGTTCTTATATTTAGGACATATAAATCTTTTAAGTGAATCTCAATTCTAAGGTATTTCATTCGTAATTTAGAATATATATTAGGAGAATATAATTATAGAATACAACAGAGATATTCTCATTTTGTATTTTACCCATTATAATATATGTATATGAAGTGGTGGTTGGATTCAAGTATATCTACTAAAAAAGGTGTGTACCTTCTCATGTGTATAAAAATGATTAAAAATATTTATAAATATTTATAAGTATACTGTATTACAAAAGGATATTGTGATAAAAAAGGAATCACTCAATTTAAAAATGATAAGTGCTAGTGTTTGTTTCTTTTTGAATTAAACAGTGACATATCTCAAAATCTGAGTTTAGACCATAAGGAATAAGGGTATTGAAGTTAAAAATAAATTCAATTTCTTCTGTTTCTATTTTTTTTATATAACCTCTCCAATCTTTTTTTACCAACTTGAGGAGGCAGAATAACAAGTTGTCTGGATTGAGGTTATGGTGTGTTCTAAAATGGTTGGAGACACTATGGGTCTCCAAACCTTTTTTTATATTTCTGACATGCTCCAATATTCAGATATGGAGGTACCTGATGGTCCTACCAATGTATAGTAGATTACAGGGGCATCTTAGTATGTAAAAGACCCCCTTTGAAAAGCAATTTAACCCCCTAAGGACCAAACTTCTGGAGTAAAAGGGAATCATGACATGTCACACATGTAATGTGTCCTTAAGGGGTTAAAGGAACACTATAGTTACCTAAATTACTTTAGCTAAATAAAGCAGTTTTAGTGTATAGATAATTCTCCTGCAGTTTCACTGCTCAATTCACTGTCATTTAGGAGTTAAATCACTTTGTTTCTGTTTATGCAGCCCTAGTCACACCTCCCCTGGCTATGATTGACAGAGCCTGCATGAAAAAAAATCTGGTTTCACTTTCAAACAGATGTAATTTACCTTAAATAATTGTATCTCGATCTCTAAATTGAACTTTAATCACATATAGGAGGCTCTTGCAGGGTCTAGCAAGCTATTTACATAGCAGGGGATAAGAACATCTTCATTAAACAGAACATGCAATAAAGAGAGCCTAAATAGGGCTCTCTTTACAGGAAGTGGTTATGGAAGGCTGTGCAAGTCACATGCAGGGAGGTGTGACTAGGGTTCATAAACAAAGGGATTTAACTCCTAAATGGCAGAGGATTGAGTAGTGAGGATGCAGGGGCATGTTCTATAAACCAAAACTGCTTCATTAAGCTAAAGTTGTTCAGGTGACTATAGTATCCCTTTAATTGGTCTTTTCTAGTGAAATCAATATGTGTGTTCTTTAATATTTGTTACGTGCCTCTTTTTATTTTTTTAGCTCTACGTGCTAAGCATGTCCCACAACCATAAAAACCTTTACTCTGATTTAAAAAAAATGTTCCTTTTTCATTGGTGGGCCTTCACTACTGTGTACCAAGGACCTCTTAAAGTTGGCAGCACCTCTATAAATAATTTTCGGATGTGAGGGTAAAATATATTTTAAAATTGGATCTCCCTGTAAAATGTGCCAATATTTTTTGATGGCCCTATTTATTTTGCCATTATTCCCATTAAAAATTTTAAGAATAAGGCGAAATTGTTCTAATGAACAAGATTACACCAGCCAGGCAAAAATAATAAAAGATCAATTCTTGATAAAGGATATGATGAAATTAAACTCACTACAGCAATGGAAGAAACCCGAAGTATTCCAAGAGAACAGCTGCTGACATAAACAAAAAAGTGCAAAGAATAAGAACACGAATGAGGCGCATTTTATGTAATTTCAAGCAAATCCATACCAACAGCAGTGTCCAGTGAAGCAGGAAGCCAATGGGTGGGGTAAAAGAGTAGGCCACTGATGCGAATCACATGACCAGAACTGCCAAAAGGGGTGAACATGCCCAAAAAGGGGGTCTGTCCAAAGAATTGGAAGGCCAGCCTTGCATCAGTGTCCCTATGCATCACAGTGTCAGTGTCCCCATGTCGCACAGTCCCCTAGTCTCCCAGTGTCTGTGTCCCCATTTGTCCCAGTGTCCCCATGTCTCAGTGTGTCCCGTGTCACTAGGATACTAGGGGACACAGAGACATGAGGGCACTTGTGGATACAGACAAGGGGACACAGAGACATGGAGACACACATTTGGGGATACTGGGAGAAATGGGATCACAGACACTAGGAGACATGGGGACGCAGACACTGAGAGACATAGGGACACTGGGAGACATGGGGACACAGACACTGGCTGGGAGACATGTGGACACTGGGTGACATGGGGACACAGACATATGGGACACTGGCTGGGAGGCATGGAGACACTGTGTCCCTAGTGTTTCCGTGTCCCAATGTGTCTCACATTGTCCCCATGTGTCTCAGTGTCCCCATGTCTCCCTGATGCCTTTCCCCTCATCTCTTACTTCCCTGAGCTGTAGTCTGTCTCTGCAGGCTGGGAGCTGCTGTCTGAACTCTCTGTGCTGTGTAGCTGCTCCCCTGCATATCAGTGAGTAGAGAGAGGCAGGGAGGGATATGCTGTAACTTCCTATCCCTGCCTCTCTCCATACACAGTGACCCCTACTGGCCGGTGCTGGTATTGCGGAGTAATCTCCGTTTATACTGAGAAAAATATTTGCATTTGTAGATTTGCAAATTGATCGACGTTTCGACCCTTTCGGACCCGAACGGGTCGAAACGTCGATCAATTTGCTACATATCAAATAATTTTAGAATACTTAAAGACCGGAGAGTGCATCCTTTATATATATATATATATATATACACACACACACACACACACACACACACACACACACACACACACACACATACATACACACACACTTTTTTTAAATGGGCCTATTCCATGGGCCTGGAGCTCCATCAGCCCCATGTTAATCCGGCCTTGCCTCGCTCCATGAAATGCCTTCCAGAAGTGGGGTGATCATTTCCCTGCCATGCAAGATATTTAGCATGGGCCCTTGCAGTGCCCCCTTCCCTTCTCATTTCTTTTGGTTTCTGCTAGCCTGGGGTAAGTGCAACAGAAACCTTTTAACCCATTTTAGGAAGGGCGGAGAGATGACGTAATCTCTACGGTGGGGACTGCATGAGGAAAGGTGGTCAGGTCGGGATATTAGGGGACGAGTTCCCATATTTGATTATTTGTTTTATTAAAGTGGAGTTTATGGTTATCTAGCCAGCAAGTTTAACCATAGGCAGTAGCCTGTTTACTAACATGCAGCTCAGATATGTTTTATTATCCTGTTTCATCAGTCATTTTACAAGGTTACACGTGAATACTGTGTTTATTTACTATGGTTGGTGTGCGATGGGTGGAACTGACGACTTGGTCCATGTTCTGTCACTGGCCAAATAAACAAGGTTTAAGTTTACGAGGGGCCGCAAAAAAACAAAAACTTCAATTTTCATAGAAACTTAGGTTTATTTAGAAAAGTACAGTATAAAAAAAAGTTGCCTGACACTGGATGTCCTCATGCTTGTATGGCTTCTAAGTAGAGAAAAGAGCAAATTTATTTTAAGGAGACATGCATTTGCATATAACCAATGTTTCAGTACACCTACCATGACATATTAAAGGACCAGCTTAATGAAGCGGTCTGGGTGCCAGGTCCATCTAGGGTTAACCCTGCCTGCTGTAAACATAGCAGTTTCATAGAAACTGCTATGTTTACATATGAGTTAATCCAGCCTCTAGTGGCTGTCCCATTGACAGCCACTAGAGGCTGGATTAACCCAGCGCTAGAGAAAGGTAAGTATTTAACCCCCTTTAGAAAGGCTGGAGTGGGCAAGTTTGTTTTCCTGGCACTATAGTGGTCCTTTAAGAAAGGTTTGGCAATATGTTAAAAAAAAAACGAATTACATTAACTTGTTGACTTTGAAGTCCTATGAATGTGTTCTTCACTGAAAGAAAGCAATATCTGGATTAAAGTTTGGATTAAAGTATTTAATCTTCCGGAATAATAAGCATTGTTTGTTTGGGCCATGAAGCCCCTTGATATTAAGTGATGATACCTTCAATGCCATTTTGACTAAGTGTAGTTTGAAACAAAGGCAGTGTTAGAGTCATAGAGATAACACCTCCGTGTTTAAGCAGAATACCCCTTTTGGGCGAATATGCCTATTACCCACCCTGTCTGCGTCCATTTTAGAGAAAGATACAGAATGTAGCAGAAAGAAAAGAAGAAAAAAGTGCAAACTGTCTGGTCTTGTCAGAGTGTGATGGGGTGCATGCTCTACCACTTCCACAGTACCGTCGACCAACTGTGGAAGTCTAGGGATGCATAGTCCCAGCAGGTACAGACATTTTTGGGGAAGGCAACAAACATTTTAATTAAGCAAGTAGCTCTAGACCATAGTCTTTTTATTGTCAGAACACTTTACGGTGGACCAGTACAGAACATAAATTGTTCCATAAAATAACTCTAGCAGCCCAAAGAGTTGAACACTGCCATACCATCTATTGATATGGTACTCCTGAAACTTAAAGATAATGGACAAGGCGACCGCTCAGGGGGACGATGAAAACCTTTGCAAAGGTATTGAAACCATGGGAAACTTACATTGGCATCCCCTAGGGCGGCTCTGGTTGTTTTGTGACATGGTGGGCTGAGGTCAGGGTATGAGAGAGCCTAGGAGTCACTCTGTTACATGACGACTTTATCTTCTTTTCCTCCTTTTCTTTGATTTCTATTGCAATCTTTATTATATTATATTCCTGAATGGGGTTTCCCCCAAAACGGAGCTAAATACTCTATAAGAATTTTCTTATTTCGACAGTGGATGAAGATGCTCTGAGATTCTCATGCTTCAGAAATTCAAATGATCTACCATTGTGAATAAAACATGAATGCTTCTTTGCTGTTGTAGTCGCATATTATTGCTAGTTTTAACGGCATCCTGTGGCACTTTACATATGTCTGATGCTGTTTACTGTATCATATGATCTTGTATTTTTTTTTTCTTTTTTAAATTTTTTATTTTTACATGACAAAAACAGTGGCATAGAAATCGCATTTCGTCTTGCACAGAAGCCCCTATACAACGGTCTAAGCAAAGCACGTTTCCCACCCTGAGGTTACACCCAGATGTGGGATTGCTCCGTGGCTATATGTCACCGTCCATCACGGTTTTGACCATATATAGGCCTGGTTTTCTTAGATCCCCTGTTATGTGTGCCCTCTCATCTATCTTTCGCACCGCCAGTGTAGTGTCAAACCATCGAGTTCATGGCTATCGGGCTACTAACGTCTGACCACTGTTGATATTTCTTGTTGTTGTCGCTATTCAAGCTTACATAAAGAATAAAAAAAATAAAAAAATTAACGCAGAATGTCAGATGTCCAAAGTGCAGGCTCTGCTTTGCAAATCTAGCAGACGGACATGATAGCCAACCTGGGGAATTATTCCATGAAGATTAATCTGCTCTGTTTTGTATACTGAAAAATATAACCCACCTTCAAATTATGCAGTTTTGCCATTGCACTAAATTCCAGAAATAAAGGTATACTCAAACTGTCACCTAACCTTCTGCCCCCTCTCCATTTTCTGTATGTATTATAAAATTGACTTGCACCTTCTATTAAATAAAGGATTACTGGATGAAATAAAACTTATTTACACAGGTTTTATTTACATTTCACAAAATAATCAAATTAAGCTAAGGTATATGCCACTTGTTCTACTGCCAGGAATAACGAAACTTGTCAACATCTACAGTTCATCTCTCCCAACCTTTTCCACCAGGCTGTTGTGGTAATTTAAGGCCCACCATACTGGCTGCAACTTCTGTAGAACGTTCTCCTTTGGCGTGATACGCCTCGTGAAGCACAACATGATTTCGAACACTGCGTAGCAGGCAGAGATATGTGGAGGCCTGAAAATGTAGCTCCTGTTGGGCTCTGCAGAATTTTTCACTGGTTGTCTGGAAGAAAAAAAAATAATGAAATTAAGAATTAGAAGAGTAAATTGATATCATATAAACAATCTGACAAACTTCCAGAGGCATCAGCAGACCATAATCATATATTGCACATCTTTTCCAAATAGGTCCAAAAGTAAAAAAAAAAAAAAATTCTAAGACAGAAATATAATGAAGAAGTCATTAAAATATGAATCCCCATTGAAAACAATACTGAGCATTGGTTTATATTTGGGTTCTTCCTGAAATTCACTAACATTTACATTAGTTCTAAAATATTTCATATCGTTCTGTGGATCAACTTCTCTGAAGGACAGAAATTGCTTAGGTCCCACATATCATTTAAAATGCTAGCAGGCTATGGCGGTGCTTCCCCACCTCAGTGTCAACATACTTGAGAAGCTTTACACAAACCAAGGGGCCCCCAGGGGTTGATCCCTCCCTTGACAAATTGCTAATGTGGAAGTTACAAATTTGTCACAACTGATTGACTCTCACAAATGACCTAGCTAATGCAGAAATGCTTAACAGGACCACTATAGTGCCAGGAAAACAAACTTGTAGGGTCTTTGGGTCCCCCCAACACTTTTAGGATCCCCCTCCTGCTGGGCTATAGTGGGAGGAAGGGGTTAAACGCTTACTTTTCTTCAGCGCCGGGCTGCCCGGCGCTGGGGACTCTCCTACCTCTTCTGACGTCATCCACCGAATGCGCGGCAAGAGCCGTGCACGCATTCAATCATTCCATAGGAAAGCATTTCTCAATGCGTTCCTATGGACGGCAGCATCTTCTCAAAGCGCGCAAGCGCCTCTAGTGGCTGTCAATGAGACAGCCACTGGAGGATGGATTAACCCTAGTGTAAACACAGCAGTTTCTCTGAAACTGCTATGTTTACAGCTGCAGGGTTAACCCTAGATGGACCTGACACCCAGACCACTTCATTGAGCTGAAGTGGTCTGGGTGCCTATAGTGGTCCTTTAAGAAATATGGTAAGAACGTGATTGGGTCATGGGCACCAGCATGCAGGACAGGAAGTATAAAAAGCTAATTGAATAAAACCCCTCCCCTAAATCCAGATATTAGTCTTCTTATAAAGTCAATTCAGAGGGGTGGGTGTCTGATGCTGCTGTGCGAAATGGCCGGAAAATTAAAAATCTGGGAAATATTATAGCAATATTATAGCAAGAATTTTCTGTTTTCCTGGTAAACCATAGCAGCATCACTAACAGGGAAATCCCATTCAAAGGGAGGGAGACACAGATAACTACAAGATAATTTATTAAATCCATTGTTAAAGAAACACTATAGGGTCAGGAACACAAACATGTATTTCTGACCCTATAGTGCTAAACCCACCATTTAGGTGGCTTGCCCCCCTCCCCCTTAGCCCCTTTAAAAGCAATGAAAACTCACCTTATTTCCAGCGCCACGTGGGTCTGTCGGCACTGGCCCTGCCCCCTTGGTGACATCATCAGAATTGCAGATTTTTTGTCAAACCAATGCTTTCCAAGCATTGAATTGGCTAAAATCGGCAAGGAGGCGGGACCAAACCCTGTTTTGGCCAATCAGCACCTCCTCATTGAGATGCATTGAATCAATGTATCTCTGAGGAAAATTCAGAGGCCCCATGCAGTGCGCAGAGACGCTGAACGGCAGTGCCGCCTACTGTGCAGCACTGCCCCAGGAAGCACCTTCAGTGGCCATCTGAGGAGTGGCCACATGGAGGTGTCCCTAGGGACAATATAAACACAGGCAGTGTTTGCATTAAAATGCCTGAAGGCAATGACTATACTCACGAGAACAACTACATTAAGCTATAGTTGTTCTGGTGACTCTAGTGTCCATTTAAGTATTGACTGAGAAAGTGAAGAAAGAACAGTTGCGCCAAATAGGACATCTTGTGATCTCAGAAAATTTTAAAGGTAGTTTATGGCAATGTGGAGCTGGACTTGCCATGTTAATCCGTGGTAGGCAAGCCACAAAAGAAAAATGTTTTCCCTGTAATGGGAAAGCCTGCAGCTGGAGTGGCAGGAAAAAAAAAAAAAAAAGAACAGAAACATCTGAATTTAGAGAAGGGCTGTTATTCAATCAGTTTGTTTTACTTCCTGTCTTGCATTCTGGGTGGGGAAATTAGTGATGCTGCTGTTGGCCATGAAAAATTTACTTAGAATGCTGGAGTGTTCTTTTAAGGGATAACAGGTTCACTTTAAAGGATCATTATAGCATTAGGAATACAAACAAATTATAAAAAAGGTGTTTACTTACCTTTTTCCCTATACTAAGACTAACTTGGTGTTGTCACCCTCTCTGCCTCTGGTGAGGTCGTGATTCAGAATTCACTTGCTTGGCTTATCGTCCTATCCAATTAATGCCATGCTGATCCAATCCAATGCTTCTCTTTGGGAAGCACTGAATCTAATACTTCCCTAGGATCAGCATTTGATGACGTTCAAAGTTGAAAGTTACATAACCAAGATAAATTCAGTTGTTGCCAATGAGGCACTCTCTAGTGGCTGTATCTACAGAATAACAATGTTTAGATTGCAGAACTAAAATAACAGGAGCACTGCCCCAGACCACTTCATCTCAATGAAGTGGTCTAAATACAGTGGTCCTGTCATTAAAGGGACACTATAGGCACCCAGACCACTTCAGCTCATTGAAGAGGTCTAGGTGCAGTGTCCCAGGCCCCTTAACCTTGCAATGGTAATTATTGCAGTTTTTGATAAACTGCAATAATTGTCTTGGAGGGTTAACTCCACCTCAGACTGCCAGTAGGTCTCCCGGGTGGTTAAAGGGACACTATAGTCACCTGAACAACTTCAGCTTAATGAGGTTGTTCAGGTGAGAACTATAGATCCCTGCAGCATCTCTCATGCAAACACTGTATTTTCTGAGAAAATACAGTGTTTACATTGAAAGCTAGGAACACCTCCAGTTGCAGTCACTCAGAGTGAACCAGAGAGACTTCTGGGTTGATGGAGGCAGCATCCATCCACTCAGATCTGCTGTGCACTAGCATCCTGTGATTCAGTATCTCCTTCCACTGCATGCAGACACTGAACTTTCCTTATAGAGATTCATTGATTCAATTCATCTCTATGAGGAGATGCTGATTGGCCAGGGTTGTGTTTGAATCATGCTGGCTCTGGCCCTGATCTGCCTCCTTGTCAGTCTCAGCCAATCCTATGGGGAAGCACTGTGATTGGATCAGGCTCTCACATGTCAGCAGACTGCTTGCTTTTCCTGAGTCTAACAGCATGCAGATTTACAGCTTCTGGCTTGAATACAGTAAGATTTTTACTATATTTATGGAGGCATGAGGGGCCCAGGGAGGCTAGATGGTGGTATTAACACTATAGGGTCAGGAATACATGTAGTTGCACTGGTGACTATAGTGTCCCTTTAAGCGACGTTTGGTTGCCTAAATGATGCTGGACGTTCTCATGCTATGCACTCGAAACCCCACAGAAAAGCATTATACAATGCTTTTCTATGGGGGAAGTCTTAACGCTAGCACGGTGCTCGCCGAGCATCCTGTTCCTCTCACTGGCTGACATCAGTGGGAGTGAGCGGAAGCAGAGCCTGAAGCAGCACTGAGGCACATTGGCACTGGGATCCGGTAAACATCTTTGTTTTTGTAGCACTATAGTTTTTGACTTTAACCATGCACTGTAAGATAATTACTGTAAAGTAGGAACAGCTATGTTTACATTGCAGGATTAAAAAGCCTTTCATAGCTGGCAATTCCTCTGCTATAAAAGATATTGGTTGGCGCAGCGTGTTTTGCTGCAGGAACACCATTGTAGTTTTGGTACTTGAAGTATCACTTTAACACATAAGCTAATTGTCTTCCATGTCGATCTCCTGTTTTATGACCATGACACATTTAAACTCATAATTGACTGTTTTAAAATTGGTGTGAATATTTGCTAAGTCCTAAAGAGGATGCACTAAAAATAATAATAATAATAATAAAAAATCATAAAGCAAACGAGAAAAGAATTACAACAAGAAGATAGCCATCAACTTTGAAGTGAAAAATAGAACATACTGTCTGCCGATGGAATAATGTTGTGGTTTAAAAAAAACAAAGGAATTCTGATTCATTAAAAATAAGTCATGGCAAAACAAGGGGTCACATAATGAGATTAATACAATGAAGCCATGCTGACCCTCCACTGTCAATCACACAGGTTACTAACAGGCCGATTAGCAGCCAGCTTCCCCACCTTCCTCACTCACCTTATTCTTCCTGAAATGCTCCCGGATATAGCTGTAAGCCGCCGTGTTTCGGTAGTGGCTCTTGCCGCCGAGGCAGCGAAGCTCCCGTAAAAGGCAGCGAAACGTGTGCACTGGAGACCCGAGAGCAGCCATGTTCACTCAGCGGGCAGGGAATCTGTAGGATTGCCGAGTGACAGGGCGAGAAATCGAGAGCCGAGCACAGTGAGCTGTGTTTACCATGACATTCACAAGGTTAGGCCTTCAAGAAGCAAGGCACTGGGGCAGGCTGAGCCTTGTTATTGCTCTGTAATTATTACGTTTTTCTTTAACCCCCCTTTTTATTTTCTCTTGCAAGTTTGTGTTTTGCTTATTATAGTGTTCATTGCAAAAAACTTAGTTTTCTAGCCAGCAAAGTTATTAACTAAATACAGAATTTTCCCACAAATTAAACATAAATGGCAAAACGGAGTCTAAATGAATAAAAATAGTTGATCTGGAAGAAATCTCCAATTTAGCCTTAGCCGCAACTTGAAGTGGTTTTGCCATTAGTAGAAAATGTGTGAAAGTGATGAGTTTGTTAAAACTCCTGCAGATTTTTAGTACCATAAAGCTATCAGCTTAAAGAGTTACTCCTACTCCATTTATGTCCTTGTTAATTCAGAAAGCACTTGATCCAGCCCACTTCCCCTGTTATTTACTTTTTGACGCTCTTTATTTAGAGTTTTTTTAAGGAGTACAATACAATAGGAATGGGCAACCTTTTGGTAATTCAGAGCCAAAATACTTTGTCCCTTGGCGTTCCGGTCTTATTTTTTTAATACTAAGGTGTGTGTTGCCATATTGTGTTATTTATGGGTGCTCCAGTTGCTTTGTAGAGTTGTATTTGTGTGTATTTGGATTGTTATCATGGGCGTCCACTTAAATTTTCCAGGGGTGGCAGGGGGCACATAATTGTAATGACATCCATGCTTGGTCACTTTTTGACAGTGTCATGAAAGGGAAGGGGCATAGTCATTATCACATAAAGTCAGGGTAAATAGTGTATAGTGTTCCTTTAAGCAAATTAAAGGAACATTTTGGTCACCATAACAACTTAATCTAAATGAAAATGCTATGATGCCAGGAGAACCTTGGGCGCTCTCTTTCCTTTAAGCGGTTTAACCGCTCTCAAATGGTTTAACACCAAAGGCTTTCTCCACCTCCAGATCTCCAGGTCACTCAGTGGTATTCGGCTTCTGAAACAGAGTGTCAGGAAGTGCAGATTGACGTCATGCATGGGTGCCGCAGATTGGCTAGAGTGGTCAGATGACGCTATAAGCCAACCGCTGGTTCCTGGTTCATAAAAATGTTTTAATTTTTTAATGAATGGGAAGCTACTGATTGTCTTAGAGTGCCAGCTGACCGCTCTAGCTAATCAGCGGGACCCCTACCCAGCGGCTCTCTGTGCTTCCTGACACTCAGTAAATAAAAGTGAACACATGCAGTCAGGAGAGAGAAGCAGTAATAAGATGTATCTTTCTATCCCTGCCTCTCTCCACAAACAGTGCCACCTATTGGCCGGTGCCGGTATTGCAGTATATTATCAATCTGAAAATAAAAATACCGGCACAAGCTGAAAAATCCGGGGGCAAGTTATAAGCTGCTTGTGGGGTTGTGTGCATGTATGTTGATTGTCAGTGTTGTTGTATTTTTGGGGACTGCGAGTGTGTTTGTGTGTGGGCTGTTTGTGTTATTTGTATGAGGGGGAGGCTACCAGACAGCCACTAGAGGGACTTCCTGAATTGAAACAGACCTTTGGTTATTTGATGCTGGACATCCTCACACTCTGCATGAGGACTTCCAGCATCAGATTTTTCCTCATAGGAAAGCATTGAATAATGCGAGTGCGCCCATTTAGGTCTCCCCTGCCTGCGGATGTCAGCTGGGGAGGAGCGTGGGCGGAGCTGAGCCAGCACCCAGGGGCATTGGCGCTGGACCCAGGAAAGTGACTGAATGTCAACCCCTTCAGCGCCGCGGGAGGGGGCCTTGACGGAAGTTTGTTTTCCTGGCACTATAGTTTCCCTTTAAGATACCCCCCATCTTTACCCATGTCCAGGTTGTTGGTCCAAGGAGAAATCTGGCTGCCATTGTGAAGCAGCGGTCAGGAGGTGGTCACGGGCAGAGCGGAGGGAACTAGCAGGGACATACCTATGGATCTGTGAAGAGATATAAGAGGGGCTTTATACTTCAGACTTTTGCGTGGGTCTTTTCATGTGTATCCCATCGGCGTGTACGAGTGGTATGTTCCCGGTTGTCTCAGTGTGTTCTATTCATAGACCTTACTATTAGCGTAGTTAATATCTGTGTATGGCAGATAAGGCTATTCTGTCCGTGGGTTGGGTGTATGGGTCTCACTCGTGTGAGAGTGTTTATCAGGTATTCAGGTGTATAGTCGCTGACGTTGCCTAACTGGCTTAGGTATGGCAGTACTAGTTACAGTTGAGTGAGCTTCAGGTGTATCTTGCGTCTTGTGGTAGTTAATTTAGTCGTTGAATTTTTTGCCTATTCTCTGTTAGATATCTGCCTGCCCATCCTAGTGAGGGGTGGGCTGGTGTGGGGGATTAGGGAGACAGAACTGGGGGTAGGTTGGGGTGGGGGAGAGGGGATGGGGGTGGGGAAAGGGGGGGGGGATCCACTGTTGGATTGCCTGCTGAGGATAGAGGTTTCGGGGAATTTTATATATTTTTTAAATCTATTTGTATATAGTGTTGGAGTTTGAATATTGAGATGTATGGACATATATGCATACACTGCTACACACAAGCTGACACATGTACACACACAGAAGTCATAATTTGCATATTTTAGCTACTCCCCTACTTTATACCTTGTGGGTGCAGGACGGTGGCTTCCATGGGGTTCAATGTGTTCTGGCTACAGGCTGAGACACGGTGTTTGCTCCCACTTTCCTCTACCAATCCAATGTAGCCGGAACTGAGTGACCTGAACTCACTTCTTCCGAGCACTGCCGATCTGACAGAGGCCAGGTCACCATAGGCGTACGCAACCTATTGCGTAAGGGTGTGCACCCCAAAGCACAAACACACACGCCGCATATATATATATATTTTCCTGACATTATTCATGGCAGCATTTACTCATGGGTTAGCTCCTCCCCTCACAGCAGAAAGGACAGGAAATAGAACTCTGAAACTGGTATAAATAGATCATCCCCCTTCCCATCAGGCAGTCTTTTTTTCCTGTCCTTCACAGCAGTTTGGAAGGAGTCTGCTTATGCAGGCCTAGATTTTCTTTTATGCTCACCAGGCAATATTTTTGTAGCCATGCCGGGGTTCAGCCTCTAAGCCCTGAAGACCCAGCAACGCACTATTGTTAATACTGCAAACCTGGGTACCCCCTTTAGTGACCGGGGGTCGGACCCAACCTCTCCCTTAAGGGATGAAAATGGTCCACTGCATGCCAGGGTTCAGCCTCTTATCCCTGAAGACCCAGCAACAGGCCAGCTTGGGTACCTCCTCAGGGGATGAATGTGATATGCTGCCTACAGGAAGCCAGGCCTTGGATCAGCCTCTTATCCCTGAAGACCCAGCAACAGCCCAGCTTGGGTACCCACTCAGGGGATGAATGTGATATATTGCCTACATAATACCAGGCCAGGGTTCAGCCTCTTATCCCTGAAGACCCAGCAAACAGCACATCTGTAACAGTTGCCAGCCTGGGTGCCTCCTTCAGCAATCAGGAGTCTGACCTATCTCTCTCCCTGAGGGGATGACAGCGGTCCACTGCATACATGAGGCCCAGCCGAGTCTAAGCCTTTATCCTTGAAGACCCAGTAAACAGCACTTCCATAAGGTGACTACCTGGGTATACCTATTCTTGGTGTTCCACCTTGTATGGGGTTGGTAAAACCTCCTCCCACTGATGATGATGGACTGCATATGGGGTACAGATGGAAGCCTATAGTTTAAACAGTTTAGGCTGTCAGTTGTTCAAATCCCCATTTTGCCCTTGAAACACAGGCCTGCACCTGTTCAGGTAAGTGCATTAGTAATTAGATTAAAACTAGTATAGGCACCTGGGTCTCTGTTCTTTCAGTCCCTCCCAGCGGCTTACATTAGGCTTCCTTCTAACAAATAGGTCACATTTAGGAGGTTTGTGTGGTGAGCATTTAGGTAAGTTATACATGAAAGGATGCTTGGTGCAAAAGAGTGCTGATAATGCAAGGAGGCATTGTGCAAAAGAGTGCTTATGATGCAATAAGGCATTGTGAAAAAGAGTGCTAATAATGGAAATCCTGGCTGTATAAAGTCTGCTGGAATTTCAGTCCTGAAGAAATATCCAAGGTAAGAGAACTTCCCTGGGTGACTGAAGTACTCACATGTATATGATTTTAAAGTCCACACACACACTTGTTCCTATCAAGATATGTGGCATTGATTGCTGTTATCTGTGCATTATCGCAAATAAGCAGGCTTTTCCAGAGAGTGGAGGAATATACTGCATATGAGACCACGGGGCCTCAGTATCCATACATGATCTGGTGGTGGTACAGCATCGGTGTGTTTTCACTTTATGCTCTAACATATGAACAGAGTGTGTCCAGTAAATGCTCTAGGTATGAGTTACTATAAGGACACTGCCTCAGTATATGTATTCACTATATGCTCTATGTAGGAGTTACTAGGAGGATACAGCCTCAGTATATGTATCCGCTATGTGGTCTATATAAGAGTTACTGTGAGTACACCACCTCAGTATAAGTATCCTATATATGATATATGTATAAATATATGAGTTTCTATTGAGACACAGCCTCAGTATATGTGTCCACTATGTGTGAGTTTCTATGGAGACAGCCTCAGTATATGTATCCATTATAGGCTCTATGTATGAGTTACAATGAGGATGCTGCCTCAGTTTATGTATGCACTATATGCTCTATGTGTGAGTTACTGTGAGGACACAGCCTCAGTATAGGTATCCACTATATGATATATGTATGAGTTACTATGGAGACACAGCCTCCGTTTATGTATGCACTATATGCTCTGTGTATGAATTACTATGAGGACATGGCCTCAGTATATGTGTCCACTATAGGCCATATGTATGAGTTACTATGGAGACACAGCCTCAGTTTATGTATGCGCTTTATGCTCTGTGTATGAGTTACTATGAGGACACAGCCTCAGTATAGGTACACACTATAGGCTCTGTGTATGAGTTACTATGAGGACACAACCTCAGTATATGTACACACTATAGGCTCTGTAGTGTGTATGTTTGTGTGTGTGTGTAAGGGTGTAGAGTGCTATGTGTGGGAGGGCTGCTGTGTGTGTGTGTGTGTGTGAGGGGTGCTGTGTGGGGGAGGGTGCTGTGTGGGAGGGTGTGGGTGCACTGTGTGTGGGGGTAGTGGTGCTCTGTGGGGAGTGCTGTGTGTGTGTGTGGGTAGGTTGCAGTGCTGTTTGGGGTGGGGGCAGGGATGCTGTGCTGTGTGTGGGGGGGGATAGGGGAGCTTGTGTGTGGTGGGGAGGTAGTAAAGGTACATAAAAAAATAAATAAAGTATATTAAATCTGTATCCCACCTGGTGGTCCAGTGGTGGTAAGTATGTGTCTGGGTACAGGAGAGCTGCTTCCTAGATCCCTCCCCCTGCTTCCAGTCCTCCCGACACAAGCAGAGTAGGCGTCTGCCATTTTGGGCAGGCAGGTGCCTACTCTGCATTGCTGCAGACAGCCAGCTGCCCCTTGCCCCGGCGACCTATAGCCACGTGCCCACAGAGAGGGCTCGGCATGCCACCTGTGGCACGCATGCTATAGGTTCGCCATCACTGGTCTATGCCATCAACTGGCGTTAAAGTCTTGTACTGCATGGTGACACAGACCGTCATAAGGTCCTTAAGTGGTTACGGTATTGGTTTGGGTTTTTTTTTTTGTTTTTTTTATTGTTTTATGAGGATTACATTGTAAATGAAGAAAGGCCAAATCCATAAAGAAATGCTAAATGTAAGTGGAAAAGGTGCAGACATACCATGATATAGTTATGACATTTGGTGTGCCATGGTGTTAAAGGAACACTGTAGGCTGCTTCATCTCATTAAAGTGGTTATAGTGTATAGAGCCCCCTGGTGTCATCCTTTAATTTTAATGGATGGCAGCGATTGGCTGAGAGTTTCAGCTGACTGTATTCACCCTATCATGCTACCACTGCTGGCTGCAGCGACACTAGGATGGGCTGGGGGAACAAATGCTCTGGTCTCTGGATGAAGTGGAGTGCCCCACCGCAGCAGCAGCGACTCACTCTGCCGGCCTAACCATGACTTCATGAAAACTGCTGCTTGCTGAGGAGACAGGAAGCAGTCCCTGCTTCCCCACCCTTTAGACACCAGGGAACGTGCTCCGGCCTCCGCTCCTCAAGGTAAGACGCTAAAGGCAGGTTTGGTTACAGTGTGGGTGACTGTAACTGTGTGTCCTTATAACTGTTACTATGTGCCCGTGACTTTGTGTGTTTTTATAATGGTGTATGACTGTGTGCCATTGACAGTGTGGCATATGTGATTTTTGTGCATGTTACATAGTGTATGTTAGGGATGTGCATGGGAAAAATATTCGGTTCGGTTTGGCATTCCAAAATTCGGGACTTCGGGTAAGTGTAGGGTTAGGAGTAGGGTTAGGGTTACCCTACTCCCAATCCAACCACTAACCCTACCTCTACCCCAACCAGTAACCCTACCCTAACCCCAACCCTCTCCTGTTTTGCCACTTTTCAGAAATCCGAAGCACTTCGCCACTTCCGAAATTCGGAACGAAACGAATTACACATGTCTAGTGTATGTGTCCGACTGTGTGCACGTTATTACTGTGTGATGGTGTCTGTGCATATAGTTATGTGACAATGTGTCTCTATGTGTATGCATGCGACTGTGTGTCTGGGCATATGTATGCGTAAATGATTATGGGCATAATTGTGTAATTACTTGTATGTCTGTGAATGTGCGTGGCCATGTTTGTATGTGAATGCACGTATGATTGCATATCTATGTATGTATGTGTGGGACACAAAAAAGGGTGAGATGGTTAATAAACAGACATGAGGCAAGGGGGGTTAAAAGACATAATGTGGGTTAAGATACACACAAAGGGATGAGTGTGTGCAAAAACAACATGCAAACGTTTATGCTAAAATTAGCATTGATTTTTGTTAAGCCTCTGATTGCTGGTATGGCTAGCAAGAATTGTTTCTCTCATTTAGTTGTTAGGCTTATTGTAGTCTTTGAGGAAATTGGTGCTGCCTTTGGACTTGATCATGAGCAGGGCTCTGGGGATCTACCTGTTGGGCAGCCCTGATCTTGAGCCTATCCCTTTCAAAAGAATTCTCCTCAACAGCCAACAAATGGTCCTTCAGATATGCATTTTGACCAGATTATGTATTGAAGGGGGCCCTTCCTTCTCACTCTCACATTGGAAATATCTCCATATACAAATTATTGACATAACAGCCTCTCTTCATGAAACCTTGATTCAATTTTACAAAGGTTGGAACCCCTGTAAGAGGTGCTCCTGATGGGAGCGATCTTCATCTTCTCCTCTACCCCAGCACCCCTTGCTCAGCCTGTTCAAATCCACAAACTGGTGGCGGGTCTTTTTCTCTCCATCCAAAGTGGCGTGGTGTCCTGCAAATTTTATGGCAAGACAGGCTTCATATTTGCTTATCTTTCTTTACTGAAACTCCCAGCAGCAAAGAAGTACTTAACATAGTGGCACCAGACTCCTCCCACTTACTCTTTCTTTGCTGCTTGCCTCCCAGGTGAGTCTATTTTGATTTTGTTGCCTTTAATTCATTGATTTAATTAGTTTTTTTTCACTTTATTGGATCATTTATATATGTTTCCAGAGTTGGTGGTTTTTCTAGATCATATAAATGCTTGCTAAGGTTATTCTCTTTTTCATGGAGTTTTTTCTTTTTTTTTTTTACATCAGTCGTCCGGTTTTTTCACGCTCTTTTCGCGCAAATTTATGGACGAGACCTGTGGGTACAAATTCAGGTTTAGATAAGCTTTTTTACAAATTTCTGGATTAGATAAGCTTTTTTCCTACTTACTTTCCTGCCCATAACTCCTTTCGAAATTGCTCATTGCCCCTTTTTTTTTTTTTCTTCCTATCTCTTACAGGTTGCTCCAAGACCTGCCTGCGTATTAAGAGTTTTTGTTAAAGACTTGGGTGACCCCCTTTTTTTTCTCCAATTAAGGTGTTTCCAGCTGTACTGTGTACTTGTGGCTAACCCCACTTATTAAATTATACTTGTGTCGCTGACACCAACTCTGTTTTATTCCATGGGTGACCCCCACCTTATTACTGAGAGTATATTATATTTGTGGCTATCACCACCTATGGTTTATTCTGTGGGCGACCTCCACCTCATTACCAGTTATAAATTACACTAAGTGGCTAACACCACCTCTAGTTAGCTTTTGGGTGACCCCCACTTTATGATTTACAGTGATTTTACCTCACTAACTTTATTGTGGGTGACCCCCACTATTCTATTATTCTAACGGAGTTGCCTCATCTTACCTCAATTGACTATTTTTTTTCCCCTTGGTCATCACGCTTGCCAATACCTGCTTGTACAGTATTAATACCTAAAATTCAAGTATTTGAGAATCTGTCTCATTTATTAGTTTCTATAATTTTTTTAGAAGACATTATGTCTGCTCACCAAGAACCTGCTATTTCTGCAGAACTACGGGCATGGCTTTTTTCCACTATTACAGAGTCCATACCCAAGGCTTTAGCAGCCTTTCAAGAACAAGCTCGCCCTCCTGCACACCAGCCCTCTGACTCGGAGGATTCCCACCTTTCAGACCAAGAAGGTGCCCTGCGCAAACAACCCTGGAAAGGGGATAGAGCTTCTGTAGGCAAGGAAAAGGCTCCTGCAAAAATGTTTAACTGTCCCTGCCACGCACTATGCAGGAATCCATGGACCCTCTGGAGGGTTCTACCTCAAGATTAGCTGGTCATATGATGAATGATTATGATGAACTACTCGGATGAAGATCCCCGGCCAATGTGCCCCAGGATTCCTCAACATCAGAGTTTATTAAAGAGACCTTTATCACACATGCTAACAATGCTAATGGTGATCCCCTATCTAAAGAGCCTTCTTCAGACATCCTCCTGGATGCTTCAGGCCTCCCTTTTTTTTTTTAAATTCTTTATTTTGAGTTGTGCATAAGGTTACAAAACAGGCTTATGCTGCCACGACGGGAATGACAAGTTACTTCATCAAACATGGTATAATTGTAGCATGGCAGTTGAAATGAATGCACATTTATTTTTATTTTTTATGGTTATGACTTGCTATCATGTTATGGTGCGTTACCCTCAATCAAAGTACTGCGTAGCATGATATTCCTAGGTCGTGTGCTTTCATTAACATAGTGACATGAAAACAGGCTAGTATAACAAATTATTTCTGCATACTATGCTATGGTTTCACACAAATGTAAATATCAGCGTTTGAAAAACATGTTAGGCAGAATCTATCTTTAAAATTAATATATGAGCAGGTGCACCCAGTCCAGTGTTCACAGGGCATGCTGGGCAGAACAAAATGGTAACGTTTATAAATGGACAGGCTAAGAAAAGAACATGAAAATGAGAACATGGTATGCACATTTGTGTTTATAATCAGATTCACATTTCAGGCGTAAATACAATACTAGACCACTGGAGCTAACTGAAATTGTATAACATCGTAGCTGGGTATAAAATAACAGGCTAGGTATATACTAGCAGGCTAGTAGTAAGCTTAACCCCTGGAGCACCTCTGGTTTTGTTTTGCAAGTGTAGACATAGGCGGGCAACGAAAAAACGTGCATACATAAAATTTACTATAACATAGGTAAAGGGAAATCAGCTGTGGACATTCTGGACTAAACCTGCCTCTGTGCGCTGTGGAGCTTGGTTAGTCCCTATGGCAGTCCTTGTTAGTCATCCCACGCCAACTCTGGAGGCCTGGTGCAGGAGTTCAGGATGAGGGCTGATGTAGCCCCTGGGTTTGGGTCCAGCTTCAGCATGTTTCTGTAAAGTTTTCTCCTGTATAGCGGCGCGGTATTCAGCTATAGCCTTGGAGTGTAGAGTAGTGTCTCGCTGGTCCAAGATTCTTTGGTTGGGTGAGTTGTCGGAATGTTGGGGTTGCTCGGTGGTCCAGCTCCTGTGTGTGGGAGCAGGTGCGTATGCCCGGGTAGCATTGCTCTGTTTCCCGCGCTAGCGGTTTTTGGTACCTGCGTGGTTGGATGGCCACTCTGAAGGCTTGAAGTGGGAGCCCATAATGGCGTCGGCAGGTTGCAGGGCAGATCAACGAGGCCACCACTCGAGCCGCTAGATGGTAGGACACTCCCCGGTCAAATAGTGTTGTGCAGAGGCTCAAGCAGAGCAAGCCAAGGGCCTCCAGGGGGTGAGAGGGTGAATGGGTGCCTGTGCTCTTTGGCCCTTGCAGAGCGGCCATCTTGAATGTGCCTTGGCAGTCCAGTGCCTTTGCAGGCTGTGTAGCCGGAATAACCCGTCTGCAGTATATATCTGCTTGTCCAGTGGGGACCAGGATAACCCCCACCTGTCCGGGGGGTGGGGGGGGTAGGAGACCAGCAAAGTCTCTGGTGGTATACGGTGTTGGAGAGAGTGGCCGCCTCTCCCCAGCTTCAACTCTAGTAGGCCGCACCTGGTGTTTGTTCCCCTGGCCCCAACGGGCTCCAGCGAGGTATCACTCTTTTCAGGAGTGCACCCCCGATGAGGGTAGTGTACCTTGGTGAGTCTTTGGGCTATGTAGCCGCCAGTTGTGCCCTATATTCTGCCCGCCTAGCAGGAGCTCTTGTCCCACACGTCTGTACGGCTTACACTCCTGGCAATCAGCATACAATCCAATTCCCCCAATAACGAGACGACACTTCGTTTTGAGGTCAAGCAGAACTGCCTGTACTGGCACATACAGCCTCTTTTATTCACAATCCACAAACATTGTACTGCCCACAGGGTTTTGAAATACAACCAATCAATCCGTACAATACACACAGACACTCCCACACAAAATCCTCCCCTCTGCCTGTGATATGATTATTGAACACAATGGGTAATATAATTATCACAGGCAGAGAAATACAGTTTTTACAAAATATTAATAACTTCCAAAATATACATGCCATTCACATAAAACATACATTTTCAGAATCCGCATGCTTGAAATATACACATACTCAAAATTCAGGGCAATCGGTTCAGGGGTTAAAAAGTTAAGGGAATTTCCTATTTGACAAAATGAAGCATGTTTTTTCTGCCCAAAACCAGTTCCACAGAGTCTTCTATCCTGGAGATAATTGGGAAGTAATCCAATTATCTCCAAGGACAGAGGCAAAACTCCATTAGCCACATGGTAGCAAAATACAATAAAATACATAAAAATATATAACTGTGCAGCGATTGCATAAAACTGGTACATTCAACATATCCCCAGATAGCTTAGATCTGAGTGCAAATTATTATTGAATGGCGCTCAGATCACATACATACAGTTCAATTGCCATGGAGCCAAAGTCTTTCACATAGTCTTTCGTTATACGAATGGGCTCCATGGCATAGCTATCTGGGGTAACACTGCTCACATACAGTACCGAATTACCTCAACATGGGGCCATAGTCACAGGGCAGGAGGCTGGCAATCGGTCTTCTCCAATGCCCAGTGGCGAGGCTGGTTCCGCCACAGGGGCGATCGAACAATCACCTTTCCCTTGCACTTTTCTCAGCAACATTTTCCTTGTACAGAAAAAGACGGGAGACCACCGGCCAATTATCAACCTAAAAAATCTGAATCAATTTGTCAGATACCATCATTTCAAGATGGAAGGAATCCATCTTCTCAGGGACCTGCTTTGCGTGGGAGACTGGTTCTCCAGGTTCAACCTCAAGGATGCCTACCTCACAGTCCCAATCGCACCAAGCCATCGTGCCTACCTTCAATTCCTCTGGCAAGATGAAATTTGGCAGTTCACCTGCCTTCCTGTTGATCTTTGCTCCGCCCCTTGGTGTTTCACCAAGTTAATGAAACCGGTCACGGCCCTGCTCCGCTCTCAGAGAGTGCATTCCATCATATATCTAGACGATACCCTGATTATGGCCCAAGACCAACATCTGCTTCGCAAGCACACGTACATGACCTCTGCCCTCCTTCAAAACCTTGGTTTTGTCAAACTTACAGAAATCGGATCTAGAACCTTCTCAAGCAGTTCAGTTTCTGGGATTTCAAATAGATTCTGTACAGGCAACTCTACAACTGCCTTACCCCAAACAAAAAAACATAAAAAAAAAGAAATTCGGAAATTACTATCCTCCCAACGACCTTGACTATGCGACCTTGCTCACATTGTTGAACTTTTATCCGCATAAATCCAGGCTATATTTCCAGGGCCTTTACACTACAGAGCAATGCAATGATTGAAAACTTTCTACTTGCATCGCTCCACCTCTTACGACCAATTCATATCCCTGACAGACTAGGTCCATAATCGAACTTATATGGGAGAGCGATCTTCAGATCCCAACCAGATTTCATCCTGGAGTCCGACACCAGCCTCTTAGGCTGGGGCGCTACTTGTTTCGAGGTTTCAACCGGAGGTCTCTGGTCCCAGTCAGAGCAAGCACTCCACATAAATTGTCTCAAGCTCATTACAGGATCCTTCGTGATCCGCAGCTTCGCAAAGTATGCGTCCAATTGTTCCCTGGTGTTAAGGATGGACAACAACTCTGAGGATCCAGATCCAAACTACTTTCCGACCTCACGAAGGATCTCTACCAGTTCTGACTGGACAGGAACCTTTCCAATCAAGCGGAATATCTCCCAGGACCCGACAATTTAGTCACGGACTGGTTTTCCCGTCATTGGACATGCCAACGATTGGCAGCTGGATCCTCTCCTGTTTCACCACATTCACCTACTACGGGGACCCTTCACATTGGACCTTTTCGTGTCACGCATGAATTATCAGACAGACTATTTCTTCAGCTGACTCCCAGATCTCCTATCCTCGGCAGTCAATGCGTTTCTGCAACCATGGCCAAAGAGAGGCGCTTATGTGCTCACTCCTTTCTCTAGGATTCAACGGACCCTTCACCGGGTCAAAGCTCAGGGTGTCCAGATAGTCATAATGTCTCCATTATGGAGAGCCCAGACTTGGCTCCCCACTCTCCTGGAACGATCTGTGGATTATCCCATCCAACTACCTCGATCCATCCAGGTATTTCCATCCACTCGCCCTACAGGGCCATTTTCACCTTATAGCTTGGACAGTTTCAGGGGATCCTGGCATGTCGCAGGACTTTCGTGCACAGCTCAAACATTCCTATGGGACTCATGGGCCCCGGGAACCAGACTAACATATCTCTCCGCATGGCGGATTTGGGTCAGCTGGTGTTTGGAAAGGGATATCGATCCCATTTCGACACTTCTTCCATCCATTTTTTTTTTTTAATCCTCTCTCTTTGATTTAGGAAAATCCTCAATTAAAGTTTTTTGATCTGCCATTTTGGTGGCCCATGATACTATTGATAATTCATTAGTAGGGAAGTATCCTTCAGTGTGCAGACTTCTATGGGGCATACGTTTGACGAGACCCCCTACTGCCAGATATTCTAATTTCTGGGATGGTTCTCTGGTTTTTACTCTGTTGGAATTCTGGCCTTCTAACGAGGCCTTATCCCTACGCCAACTTTCAGCTAAATTGGCCCTGCTTTTGTGTCTGGTGTCTTTCCGCAGAGTTTCAGCCGTTCAGGCCTTCGACTTTCATGCTGTGGCCTTCGCGCCAGACGTACCAAGACTAATTCCTCATTTTTCTTTTTACCCATACTTTCCTGACAGACCTGTGTTGCCTTGTGTACCAACTGTTACATTGAGAGCATAACCTCTCTACGTTCCCCTACAGGGCCTCTCTTTGCTTCCTATGTCAGACCTCACAAACCGTTCTCTTCTCCCATGATTGCACGCTGGATATGATGGCAGTTCACCCAAGCAGGAATTGACCAATCTTTTGGTGCTCATTCAGTCAGGGGTACGGCCGCATCCTCTGCTCTTCGTGCAGGCAGCTCACTGGCGGATATCCTATCCTACACGGACTGGTCAAGATAATCCACCTTTCAAGCTTTTTATTTTAAACCTACACCACACACTGCTTTTTCTATTATAGAGGAGCGTTAAAACAGAAAATATGAAGCCTCCTGTCTTGCCATAAAATTAGGGATTATTCTAGTTTAGAGTGAACGCATAATCTAAATTTTATTAAAAACAGGAGGCAAATATTTCCCCTCCCTTCATACACTCTGAATCCCACCCTTCAGGGTAAGTTTTCTCAACTAATCTTGCATTGTACACTCTCTCACAAGTTGCTTGTTATCACACATTTTTGCTTGCCTAGTGACTTAGTCCTACACCACAATTTATTGCCATTTATTATCATTTATACATTCCAATTTTAATATGTTAACTTAAAATTACTTGTGAATACTTGTTTTTCTCTTGTCTATGAAACCATACTTTCACAAAGTTTCTCTTCTCTCCTAGTGTGAAATTATTGCATTGACCTTGCGATGCTTTGGCACAGTCTTCTTGACAACATGTTTACATGCTTGACTTCATTATGATTTACCTGAGCTACAGTTCCTGATTCGTTCAAGTTCTTGTTTACATGGTTGACTCTACTGCTGATCGGCATCATCAAGAAAGAGGATGGGGGAGGAGTCCAGTGGCATTATGTACTTCTGTTATGTGCTCTGATTGGTTTAATTTTTACAAATCTTTGTTAACTATTTCTTTGCTGCTGGTAGTTTCAGTAAAGAAAGATAAGCAAATATTCGATTATTCGTTCACTGTAAACTAGAATAATCCCTAATTGGAGGAGAAAGCCTCATCCCCATAGGCATGGCAGATGGCCAGACTCGGGAAGTACCAACCTCTGGTGCCCTCTTAAAGGGAAATTGTGTGTGTGTGTAGGAGTGAAGTAGGGTGTGTGACTCTTCTCCCCTATTTAACAGCATTCCTCCCTTCACTCCTTTTCCAGTTATATTGTGCTCATGGTGGTGTTAATTTGCATCTGATTTCTGGTATTTGACTCTGCCTGTTTAACCAGTTAACAACCAGTGCCGCTTTACCTGACCTGCATTCCTGACCACGCTTTTGTCTGACCCTCATCTGTACTG